AAAGAGAAGATTGCTGCCTGTTTATTCAGAGGCAACCTCTGTGGTTGAGCAAATATGCTCCTCCTCTTGAGCAGTCAGTCTAATGACCTGTGCTTCAGATTATTATAGGTTACCTCCTTCACTGCAGAAATACAGAGATGTTTTTTTTTTATTATAAAGCAAACTTTTAAAGCCAGTTATTCATTTTTAATGCATTAGTATTATTCAATACTTCTAAATGAACAGAGGCTGCACAGTTGATTGGGACACAATGCCCCTACATGTTATACATGCTTTCCTGCTTCGAGTTACCAGATTTAAACGGATGCAGATTTTAAGTTTTCTGCAGGTTTTTGAGATGAGATGTTATTACTCTGCTCATTTAAAGGGGGTCTGTTGGAGTAGCGAGACGTCCAAATGACGCGTGATGGTGTTTCCCCAAGCGATCATGTCCGGAAAACACTATATTTATCAACGTTTCTTTTTATATACCCACTAAACATATAGGGCAGCGGTGCACAGATTATTTTGTTAATTTTCCAAGGCATATTTGGATGCACTAGATATTTGCACACAGCATCTAATAGATAAAAAAAGGAGTGCATGAGTATCAGCCATGATGCGTTAGTGTTTGGGTTAGCGGTGGAAGTTTCTAGGGTCTGTAGTAGCACAGCGTGTCGGTGCACGGCCCCGCTCTGACGCCACTCTCCCTCTCGCAGCCACTCACGCCTAGCTGCTGTGTGTTTAAACGCCACAGCTGTGTTGACATGAGAGGCACGACATGGAACAATGAGTCCAAAGGTCAAGAAAGCAAAACTTACAACAGCAGATTGAGTGTGCGTGTGCACTTTGAACAAGCGTAATGTTGCTTGTGATTTGAAACGTCAGCCTAGTCTTTAATCTGCCGTCAGGCTCCACCTAAAGAGGTGCTTTTAAAAAACCCTATTTCTATTTAAAGCTGCAGCAGAACTCATTTTTTCCGTTTCCTTGGTAACTCTCCAGTGTGAAGCTTCTATTTTTAAAGCCTCCACCCCATATTTAATCATTTATGCTTTGGAGGGTAACTGGCGATCCGGTTTCCTGTGGAGGAAGCGGAAGGGCAGTGGGAGGGTGGGGGGAATTAGAGGGATGCGTGGTCAGGCCTCCTCTCTGTAGTTGGGCCTGCAGTTGCCCATTTTTCATCTGACTTAGATTTGAGCCGTTCCCCCTCCTCCATGATATCCGGCAGCAGTGAACACTGAGCGCACCGCATGCCAGCACTCCGCGTCCTGCAGTCTTCTTCCTTTATTTTCCAGAAAAAAAAAGAATTAGATCAGAACCGAGCATTCTGTCTGCAGAGCGCAAGTTTAGCTTGTTGCCTCACAGTGCATCATGTCCTGCTGTAACAGTAAAACCACTTTGTTCTGTTCCTGTTGCATTAGCTTGTAAAGTTGTCCCTCTGGTAGAAATCACTGTGCATTAGGTTGTTCCTGGTGTGGCTCTCAGACAGGGGACATCAGAGTTTGCTCAAGGTCCGTTTCTGCCCGGAGCTCTGCACAGCAAATAGCCGGAATGAATAGTTGAAAATAGCAACTTTGCAGCCTCTCCTGCAATTAGCGCAGGGAGTGACGTAACGAGCCGGCAAAGACAAACCATTGCATCCTGGAAGTGGGACATGTGAAACAGGAGTCTGTTAGGTTGGGTCAGAGCTTTTACGCACATTGAGTCAATTCAGCTTTAAGTCAACAGTCATTTCTCAGAAGTTGCACAGTCATTGAGATGAAAAATCCTTCTGCTTGGAGTTCTTAGTGATATACTGCTGTGATTATGATTTTTTTCCTTCTTTATTTTTCTTTTGTTTCTCCCCAAATAGAAAAGTTATTTGAAAAGCAAAAGCAGGAACTCAAGGTGTTTCGTTTTGTCTCATCACCCTTTTGATTGATTTAGTAATAAACCATTCATGCATTTCTTTGCACAGGTTGCAACTAAAAGGCCTAAATATAGATTGAATGGCAGGTTGTTATTTTAATCCTGGTTTGGTGTAAAAAAAAACTTTCCACAAGTTTACAATAAATTGTTATAAAATAGTTGAACTGATTCAGAGTAGTTTTGGGGGACTGCAAAAATTGTTTTTCTTTCATATTACAGAATTGCAAAATTTGTTATTTTGGTGCACAGGGGTGAAAGTCTGATCTTTAATTGCTACTGCATCTATGAGAAGGAGAACATTCAGAGATGGTCTCCCAAACATGACATCATCTCATTTGCAGGTCAGCATACCACTAGAATTTGCTCATTGTTAGCATCTCTCAACAGACTAACTAAAACTAGCAACTAAGGAGAGGATGGAGTATGTCCGTCTCTTTTAATGCATACAAAGAGTGAATAAGCATCTCTTTAAACCATTGTCTTATAATGCCATGTTTCACGGAGGGGAGGGCCATTAAATTTACCATTGAACAACTTTGAAGATAGAAGGACAGCACACATCTGACTGCTGAGCACACCTCAGCAGGCAGAGAGCCGAAGTAGAGAGGAATAAGAAACGTGTAGGAAATTGGACCTGAATCCCGGGAGGCATCTCAGAGTTAAAATAAGGTGCAGTCCAACGGAGAAGTGTGTTTTTTAATTTTCACCCATGCATCACGGGGCTGTGCGTCTCTCTGTACTTTAGGTTCAGGTGTAACTGGTTACAGCTGAGTCCAAACCATCAGGAGCCACTTTTTCTGATACTGAATGGGTGCAAAACGATCCATCGATATATTGATTAAATGATACCTGATACAGTTTTACATTGATGGAAAATAGACACAGATATCAACATTGGGATCTTTAGTAGGGATGCAAAATATTGGATTTTTGACTGATATCCAATATTTTTCATACCTACTTAGAGACGCTGTATAGTTTTCTTCCCACTCTCCTGTACAGTCGTTGCAAATAGCAGTTTGGCTTTAGCTTTATGAAACTCAAACATATACACACATTTTGTATTCAGGATTTCTCCTTTGTTAGACTTTGTTATTTTATTGCAATATTGTTGCAAAGATCATGTTTTGGAATTTAAAAAAACTTTTTCATGAAAAAAAATTGCTTAGATTTCATTTTAACAAATTACAATGTTTTCAAATGTTGATAAACACATTTCAATCTGAAAAACTCACAGAGAGAGAAAGATGCAATTAGAAGAGTTTATTGATACGATAGTTTGAACTTTGGCACTCAGGCCTCGGCAGGAAACATAAACGCTGATTTATACTTTAATGCAGATAAACTGATGTATGAGAATAAGGATATTTCCCCCTAAAACTGGTGGTGAAGTTTAGATAGATGAAGTTTGGTTAATCCATAGAGGCTGGTATACAGGGTGATGCTTGAGTTAGATGTCACTGAATGAACAAAGTTTGCATAAACTGTCCATGAAGAGCAAGCATGAAGCCACTGTGGAGAGAAAAACTCCCCTTTGGGAAGAAATCTCTGGCAGAACCAGGCTCAATGTGGCGGTCTTCTGTGACAGGGAACTCCATGAAAGTCTGGAGGGAGTACACACTGGAGGTTAGGTTGAAGGAGCATCGAGGAGGAGTCGGATGAGTTTACAATGGTGGAGAAGGGGATGGAGGTGGGTTGTCTGAATCAAAGTCCGACATAGGAGCGATGGATCTTGCGCTTGTTGAAGAGCAGGCCTAGAGATGATTTGGAGTGGCTTTAAGTAGAGTGCTGGAAGATGATTGGGCATCGAGGAAAGTGGCTTGAAGCGGGTTGGCTGCGTCGGAGGCGGATCAGCCTCAGATTGAATGGAAATAATCAGAGTTTCTTGAGTTGAATTTCCGCCTTAGCTTCATATTTCTTTATCTAACCTGTGGTTTCGAAGCAGTATTTTAAAAAAAAGGCCTTCCTTAAATTCCCAGCAGATAGATGATGATGAGTACCAGGAAAAACAGACAACCCCTGAGGGAGCCTGTAGTTTAGCACCGCCCCAATGCCAAAACAGTGCCTGCTTAACACTGAAACCATCTATCTTTAAAAAAAAAAAAAAAAAAAGCTGCAGCATAAAGTGAGAGGTCATAGCAATTTTTCCCTTTTTTGCAATGTTTAAATTTTCATCATTTATGTTTTCAATGTTTTACAGCTGTCACTGGTTTAGCTCCATATCCAAGTATTTACGAATGTTTTTAGGTGCGCTGTTTGGACGGGCTTGGTTGCTAAAATGACATCATTTGGCTGCACGGACCTCAGGGACCTTGCAGAGTATAAACCAGGCTTAACACTGGGTGTCACACTAGCTTTGGGCTCTGTTAGCTTTGCTGTCTGTTTGCAGTTCTTCGGTGCAGTAGTAGATGTCATGTGACCTTGGTTTGGAAAATCAGGAAACCACCATAACAGTCACTCAGACTGGACTAGAGAATCTGCCCAATCCAAAACTAATGCTGTTTTAAAAAATATATTTATATTAAAAGATGAACTTATTGACCCATTTTTTAGTCACTTTAAGACTTTAGGTCAATTTTTCAAGCTCTCCAAACTCCTATATGTATATAAATGCAGAAATATTCCCTTTGGCACTATGAAGTATTCAATAGTTTTGAAATATTAATATTCCCTGAACATCTCCCGCTATTAGCATGTTGTTTATTGTTGCTGCTTCCAAACTGCTCTATTTTATCTAAAATATGCCAGTGATTGATATCATAACTCTACACACTGTTATTGGTACAGATACCCTGCACATGGGAGGAACCGCGGTCTATGTACGTAAAGACGAAGACCTTGGTTTCTGAAGGAGATTGTTTGTGAACGGATAACATTGATAACATATCAACTCTGATTTTAATGGCCTACTTGCTGCTTTTTCTAATAAAGAGGCTCCAGTCACAACTGCATTTTAACCAGCAGCCTGACCTCTTTGATGTTTCTGTAATCCCACAGGAACATCTTGCTGCCAATCAGTGTTTAAACAGCTTCGGCTTTGTCGGCTAACCTTGTGTAAATACCATCTGTATCCTTTGTCTAATTAAACTCAGGTCTAACCCTCTCTTCCACAGGTTCAAGCGCAGTTGTCCGAAAGCGGAGATGTCATCTAAAGAACCGAGCTCCAGCAGCATTGCTCAGGCCAGGCGGACGGTGCAGCAGCTGAGGAGGGAGGCTCGCATCGAGAGGATAAAAGTGTGTGCTCTGTTCACTCCTGATCTGTGGATGCATCAAATCAATCCTGTTTCCTAAACTTTTTCACATTTTGTCACATTTCGCAAATGAAATGTATAAAAGTGGAAGTACTGAAACATTTAGAATTGAACAAAAAAAGGCTTTTTTTTATATGTAATCTGAAAATCTTTGCATGCCTATGTATATCTTCCCAAACTGACCTGATCATTCGGTGCCATGCTTCCTGGGTCCCTGTTCTTATGGTTTTGGTGTTTAATTTTTGTTCCAATATCTAATTTATCTAATTTTGCAAGCAAACTTAACCTAAAATAATTTAAAAAAACTTCTAAAACTAACTTTTTTCTTTTGTTTTCATATTTTCTTTTTTCAATGGTTTTTATAATCAAAAATATGTTTTACAGATTTTTTTTTCTTCAAATGTCTGTTTTCAGACTGAGTTTTACAAACTGTATTTTATAAAAAAAATAGCATTTTCCAAATAACATTCTCTTCATTCCTCCGGCTTTCTTCTGAAGTGAGGAGCGAAGATGCATTTCTGTTGATCTGGAGGCTTTTATATTCAGCTTTAAGTGAAGAGAATGTAATCTGTGAAACACAATATGAAGAAAAAAAAATGCAAGTATTACAAACTAAATCTGAAAAAAAGACATTTAAAAAAATACTTTGAATATATTAAATATGTAAAAGAAAAGTAAACATCAAAAACTGTTTATTTAAAAAGTAAAATATAAAGAAAATTGGAAACAATTCCATCAAATCAGAGAAAATGGAAATGTTACTCCGAAAACCCTTTCCTTTAATCAAAAAGTTAGTGAAAGTTTTATTTCTGGATTTTAATTCAGAAATCGTGTTTTTGCAACAATAATGGAACAGTATTTATTAAACAGTTCAGATTTGCAATAAGCCCAGAAAAAAAAACAATAACAGGAAACATTCATCACTGCAAAATACTTTCTTAAAATGAAAGTATTTACCCTTAATCTGAAGTAATTCACATGATCTGCTAATTCCGCCACTACCGTGTTTCACCATTAACATAGTCTGCTGCTTCCTTTTTGCTGCTTGTACCAGTTAGTACAAGCTTTGCTGCTCCAGCTGCGCGGTGCAAAAGTGGGTCTGAAGCGCGTTGGGCGGAGCTACTCTATCATTTCCTTTGCCTTGCAGCTATATTTGCTGTGATCAGTGGGAATAAAGTAATTTTAATATGTTTTTAAGTGAGAAAATCCACCTAGAAACTTCATCATTGCAGTCAGTTCATCCAGATTACCATCCTGCCTTCCAATATTATTTCTGTCGGAGCTGCTCAGAGCCCCACATACCGGCGGTGCTCTGTCAGTAGGATCCCATTCAACAGCAGCCTCTGGCCGGGTCGCCTCCTCGCGGTTCGCCGCGGCGGCTGGTAGGTGGTTTGCATCTAAATAATCCAAACTGCAGGCACCAGGATAATAAAAGCGAACATATTCTGCTGGCAGATTTCTGCATTTTAAGTTAATTTATGCGTCAATAAACTGTTTCAGAGGAGCGAACACAGCGCTTTGTGTCATCAGCGATCTGTCTATCACCCTGCTGGCTCCCAGATCAGCGTCTCTGATTGGTTGACGCGATGCGTCGAGCAGCAAAAGTTAAATTTTTCCATCTCGAGCAGCAGCGCGTTTGCGGCGCGTCACGCGCGTCAGATGCTTAAAGGAATAGTACACCCAAAACATGATTAGCCTTCATTTTCTACTCATCCCCATGCTGAAAAACACTCTGGAGTACTTTTTTGATATCTCAAATGCATCTGGAGATCTGGGAGGCTTCTTGCTGTCTGCTGACATTCAAATAATGGAGGTCTATGGCGCCCGAGGCAGAAAGGTCCATAAAAGTCCACAATAAACGTGTCAATATTCCTCCATACTGCTCGTCCAATGTATTCCAAGTGTCCTGAGTGGGTAGCGTCCATAATTTACTCGAAACTAAGTCATTTAGAATGTTTTTAGAGCATAAACAGTAGTGTATAGGATTTCCTGAAAGCGCGAGCCTGCGCGTTCACAACGCTACGGAAGCCGGCAGACCAAACCAGATGAAAGTGCGCATTCAGCGTCTGCTCTGCCGATAATGCAAGCGTAGAAGAAGAAATGTGCTGTTTACCTGTGCAAAGAAAGAAACAACGAAAGAAAAATGTCTGAGGACTTCAGTGTTGAGGAAGAGCATGAGTTCTTTGCCGAGCTGAATGCGCATTTTCATCTGGTTTGGTCTCCCGCGGTTTCCGTAGACTCGTGAACGCGCTTTCAGGAAATCCTATACACTGCTGTTTATGCTCTAAAAACATTCTAAATGACTTCGTTTCGAGTAAAATGAAGGCTAATCATGTTTTGGGTGTACTATTCCTTTAAACGCTCCCAACGCGCTGCTTTAGCTGTTTAGACGCGCTGCGCCTGCTGCTCAAAACGCGCTGCGGGACCTTTTGCGGCGCCTTGACGCGTGTCAACCATAGACTTTGCATGCAAACTCTCTGCTTCTGCCACGCCTGCTGCGTCCGGTGTGAACGCAGCATAAGTGTCCTGCCACACATTTCTCTGCCTTTAAACCATTAAGGTACATTTTTGTCTCATCTGTGCAGACAGAGAGGCATCTTTGTTTACCTATTTCTTGGCATCTAAAAACATTAGATGTCAGTTGATTTTCAGGGATATCGATGTGATTTCTAAATTTCAAAGATTTTTCTTAGAAGTGCAGTTTATGAAAATATGAGAAAAAATGTATTTGATAGTTAATATCTTTTAAGGATCTCTAATGTGGATTGGCTTCCTGCAGGTGTCCAAGGCTTCATCGGACCTGATGCGCTACTGTGGAGAGCACGCCAAGAACGACCCTCTGCTAATGGGCATCCCGACTTCAGAGAACCCCTTCAAGGACAAGAAGTCCTGCACCGTTTTGTAGCTGAATACACCCCCCCTTGCTTTTTAAAACTCTTATGTAACTGTCTGATAATAGTTTTAAAACCAACTTGCCTAAACTCCTCCGTGGGGTCTACATGTTTTTTTTGTTTTTTGTTTTTTTACATACACCTTCTAAATAAAGATAAAACCAAAGAACGGGCAGATGTCTGACAGTTCATCAAAGCATCAGGTCCAAACAGTTTGCATGAGGGCCTAAAGCGTTGCAGCTCTTAAGGAATAATTATCAAATGATGCCTAAACAAGGCCCCTTACTCACTGCGCCTATCAGATCGTCAAGCCTCTTACTTTTATCATGTTTGCTTGAGGATAGAGTGAGTTTGTGTTCTACTGATAAGGAACATACAGAATAATGACATCCTGTCAGTGGATGAAGCGTCTGCTGGGCTTTACAAAGCGACAAATGGAGAGAGAAGCTCTGCTGCCAGTGAGGGTCAGCTGATGCCTTAGGCAGCCATGGATTAACATTCACCAGTAGTGATAATCTGGAAATGATCACCTGGAAGTTTGTTCCATGTAGCATGTGGATCCTTTCATTGTGGATTTCCAAAAAGCTGCCAACACTTCCCAGTCTAGAGAGAGTTTGCACGCTAAGAGGGATAAAACAGCAGCTTCGCTTACAGGATGACCTGTTAACCGTATGTGGACTCTCTGTCGGTTTTACGGTCAATTCCATCTTTATGCAGATGTTTTATTCTTGTTCTTTTCAACTTTTTCTGTTGGTTTGAACTTTTATCTGTCAAAGTTAGGAAAGACTTCACAATAAAGAAAAACATTCACCAAAATGGTTGAAATAAACCTGAAGGAGCTTCCTCACCTGTACAGTAGAAACAGACCAACACTTCGGCCCATCGATAATTTCGGATGATATTAGCATGTTTATTTTCTTTTTGTTGTTGTTTTTTTTTGTTTAATTTGAGACTTGTGTAACATTTATCATTGTGACATTTTTATCATGTATTGGAGGAAAAAAGAAACGGCTCGAAGAATCAACCTAAAAAATGACCAGCAGTACAAAATCTGGATGAATTAGATTGATGTCAAAATAATTGGCATTTCCCTTTAAAAACTGTGTTAATCAATCTCTGCTGTAAAGGACCAGGTACCATGTCTAAAAGATGAGCAGAACATCTTAGTAATTAGTTCCAGCTACCTTTAGGTGTAGATTTAAAACAATCCTTTGTTCCTACAGTCAGAAATTTCTCTGACGTTTTGTTTTTCTGTCATTTTCACGCAACACTGTGTAACTTTTGACCCAAGTATTAGCTTCATTTCATATATACTAAATGATTTTTCATGTACAGCACTTGGTGCGTATCCATTGGTTCCATCACTGAGTGCGTCATGTGACTCAGAGCGCCGCTTTATGGCCGTCTGAGCTCCCTTTAAACATCGCAGCTACCCAAAGCTGAAAGCTGTTGTTGTGCAACAAAACAGATATGAGGCTTACCGGATCAGACATATTTTTCGTTCTGGGATGTAGGATTTAATCTAGAGCGGTTAATGTTACCTTTACAAGGAATTCCATAAATTCTCAGCCTGCTTATCCATTGTGGTTGGATATCAGATTACAGAACACAGGGAGAAATAGTTTAATTTTTTGCCTGTCAATGTTGCTAGTGCCCCTAGTGGCTAAAAGTTACACAATGTAGCTCTATATGATCTGATCTTTGTTTTTCGGTATGGCATTAATGTCGGGTTGACTGTGTTTTTATATCTACTATGCTACACAACAATTGCTGTCTTTAAGCCGGGCGTACACTGTGCGATTTTTTTCAATTGTTGCACAAAGCTACGCTCACACGGTCCGCGGGAAATCACAGAGTTTTCTCGGACAGTGTGAGTTCACAGCTCACGATGTATGTTCTCATACTTTGTGGCCTGACGCTATGTTGCGATTTACCTGCTTGCACTGTACGTCTAAAAACCATGTCGGACCACAGTGAAATGGCGCTACTCGGGCTCGTCTATCTGGAAGCCAAACAAGTAGAAAAGGAGCATGAAGCTTATTAGAGTGAAACGTGCTGCCTTTGCAATTTGTGCAATTTTGTGTGCTGAAAGATCTAAAAAGAAAAGGCGACGATGTATTTGGACAAAAACACAGCTGAGCAAACATGGCTACTACGGTCTGTCAATTTTACAGAAAGAACTCAATTTCAACCACACCCCGCCATGTTTCTGTGTTTCATCTAAGAGGAAGAAGAAGAAAAAAAATCCTTGTTTGCGCACTGAGCGATTGACTAAATTTCAAACATGTTTGATTTTTTCCCCCCGACTTTATGATTCCTGATCGGGAGGTGGTCGTGAGAGGCTGATCGCCCCTCATTACCCCCTGTACACGACGCACGATCAGGCTGGAAGTAGGGCCTGTCGGAAAATTCTCGCATGACTGGAGAATCTATCCAAAAAGGGCAAAGAATCGTACAGTGTATGCCCGCCTTTAGGGATAATGAGATTATTGATTGATTGATTGAAATCAGTATACATATAAGGAAATTACAGCTGTTTCTCTGCTTTTATGTGAAATACATCACTGATGTTGAAGATATCTCATTTGGAATCTTCTCTTAGTGACGACATCCTCTCTGAAGGTTGTTAATTTCAGAGTCACATGCTCCCGCTCAGTGTAGTTAAATTATGAGTTTCTGACCAGCTGCCATTACAGTTGGTCAAACTCATCATTGAGTGATTCCTATTGGAATCAGGATTGTGGTTCTAATATTTGTTTCCATATTCCTATTTATGGATGTATTTTTGCCACTTTCTTGACTCTTTTTATACCCCCCACCTCCGAGGATACTTTCAGCTAATCTGTGGTCTTAGCTTCCACATATATTCTGTAATAAACTGCTAGAAACTTTGGTCACAGTTATACCTGTCAGTCTTCATTATTACAGCATTATTTAGTCAAGCAAGTGCTTTGGGGTGATACTTTGATTAATAATGGCTTAAAGTGAGCTAGAGGAGGGTGTTAGCTTTTACTCAATAATGGACTGGCTTATTGCTTATTTGCATTAATAAAGTGTGCTTTGAAAATTTTTAACTCACTAATTTATTTTATTATTTTTTTCACACCTAAACAATTCATGCCATATAAGAAGTGTTAACATCACACAAGAATAGTTAGTAAATACAGAAACTACACAAATATTTTTGTAATTTCCTAAAAGGATCCACGTCTACTTGAACATGTCGGGCCTAAATATACTTAAATTTTATTATTAACTTAAAAATTATAGTTTATGATACATAAAAACTTATAATTAGTTCAACAAATGTATATATATTTTTTACAAATGTGATCAGATTTTGATCTACTGTTAATCATATTAGCTAGAGCTAACACCGTTAGCCGGAGCTAATGTGAAATCAAGACCAAATCAGGAGATAATGAGCGATCATTTAAACTGACAATGAAACATCTTTAAGGCGTTGTAATTTTTATAATATATTTGAGAAAATGTTTTCTTTCTGATCCTAACCATAAAAAGCTCTTCTCTATCTTGGTTAGCATCTCTTAGCAGAAGCCACACAAAGCTACTTCAGCCATCTATCCTCCTCCTCCATTTGTTCCTCCTCATCTTTAACACCTTGTATTATTTATACTTTTTTATTGATGTCAGTGTGCTCCAGGTGTGAAAAAGTTTCAATGTTACTCGTTGCTGTTTTGGCTGGAAGGAACTAATGCTACCGGAGCTAGCATCTGCCATCTTCCCTGAAAGCACTGCAGGATAAACGTGTCACAATATTTTATTCAAATTTATACAACTAAACATTTTACTGTATTTCATTTTCAACTGAGCTGTATTTATGTCAATATAAATATTTCTCAAATAAAGTCTGTTGTTACAAGGAATCATGGATCCCAGGTTACTTTAGCTAGGTTCCTAAAATTTGGAACCTAGCTAAAGTAACCTGGCCCAGTTTAAACAAAAAAATGCCCTTCTTTATCAATCATGACTCAAGAAATTTTCTCATTACATTTCATTTGTCACACTCAGGCCTGTTTACCGCTAGAGAATTTATAAATAACTTTGATAGAAATTGTCTGACAAGTGAAAAGTCCCAAAGAACAGCAGATTCAGTCCCATTCAAAATCCAGCAAATTCACTGTTATCTAAAGAACAGGAGGGTGTCATCTCCATAGCAACAGCTGTTATGGAGACAAATTGAGAAAATATAAACCAGTGGTAAATCTTCTCAGAAGTGATCATCCAGCAAAATTACTCCAAGAGGACACATAGAGCTTATTATTCAACAGGAAGGTGAGGCTGAGAAAAAAAGTTTCTAAGGGCCCTTGATTGAGGTGGGGTCCATAAGAAGAAGAGAAGATGTGTCCAAATAGATATTTCAACTATGAAAAGAAAATCCAGCAGTTTTTTTCAGCACTAAACAGTAAAACAAACCATGAATGAAGTAACCAAGTATTTTAACCACAGATATATGCCGTTTGGAATAATTTATATTTAACTTTTTTGTGTTCTGATAATTTTCCTTTGTCACAATTTTACAATAACAATTACATTGGAAAATGTAAAAGATACGCTTTAGTGATTCTTGATAGCAGTTTTAAAGCTTGCATTTTTTTTTATTTGGGGGGGGGGTGGGGGGGCATATTATTGTCTTTCATGGGGCCCCAAATTCCTGGCAGCGCCCCTGCATACATCTGATATAAAACTAAAACACGATCTTTGAGTCTAAGGATATCCAGCAGTCATTTATGATCTTGAGTTTTAATTTGTAGTAGTTAGTGATTCAAAGCCTATCTCTAAATATGTTTTATGAAAGAGACGTTATGAGAAGCTGTGTCATGAGGCCATTTGAAAATCCTCTAATGTTGCTGAGTAACTACATTTTAGCAAAAGAGAAAGGAAAACATATCCCCCACAATGACATAACAGACTAATTTCTGAATTGTTTAAATGTTGCTGCAAACTTTTAGGATTTGGAAGGAAACAACTATTTCATCCAGGCCTAGTTTTTTTTTTTCATGTTGACATTAAAATACTTTATGATCTAAACTATTCAAGAGATAGAAAAATCTATTAATACTGCACCGTAGACTATATATTTCCTCCAACATATTGTAGATGCCTACCTGTGAGCTTGCCACTCTTTTACAAACATTTTTATTCATAAAAGCCTACTAATTATGTTTGATTAGGATATTAAATTGCTTTATTCTTGTTCCGCTGCATGTTTTCTGCTGAAATTGTTCTTATTTGACACTGTATTTACTTTGATCTGTTTTAACTTTTATTTTGTAGCACTTTATGGTCTGTTTTTGCAATTATAAAGTGCATATAAATAAAATGCATTATAGATCTTTTTTTGGTTGGTTCTCTTAAACGTTCCTTCCAGGGCTGTACTAACTGCAGAAATGTTTTATTATATACACTCATTAGACATGGTAAGATTTTGTAAATATGGTCACATTATTCTGTTTTTGTCTTGGAGATAAATGTGTTACCATCACAGAGGAGTTTCAGGATATATATCATCTGGTTTTCCATCGAATCAAACTGGATTTCTTAATTGTTAAACTGGAGAGTCTGAAATAGAAACAACTGCAAAGTCATAAGTAAAGGTTTTCGGCAGTGACAGAAATGTGTTTTGCAACTTTCCTCTTTAACCAGTTGCTTCACGTTTCCTGGATGATCGTGGGAAACAATCAAATGCATGTTGATTGATTGCAAACAGTATTATTTCAGCTTTTATTCGTTTAACATTTTACCTTTATGTTTGCTCTGGCAACCTTTCTTACTCTTTAAGTCAGTAATAAAGCATTTGATCATTAAGTTCTTTGAAAAATCCTGTTCTCTGAACAATCCTTGCATATTTTGATGATTCATGTTTTTTCTAGCAGGATGGTAAAACCTTGTCATACAGAATATGTGATAACAGGTGGAAAATTTGGTCCTGGAGTTGGGAAGTTCCCCAGAAATCTTGAGTTCTTAAAAAGTCAAAGGCAATAATTCGACATAAACTGATAAACATAAGTTAATATGCAGCTAAAAAAAAAAGAATTTATCTAATTAAAGACAGTGTCACACAGCAATTTTT